TAAATGGAGAAAAAAAAATATTTACCATGAAAAAATCTTATACTTCCAAAGCAAATGCTTGAGTGAAGTTACAAAAAAAAAACTTAATGCTATTTTCATCCAATTCATGTTCTCATTGTTATATGTATAACTCTACGTTGATATAAACAGAATGAGTTGCCTCTCCTGTCTCCATCGTGATAAATGTGTATAGTAAATAGCCGTACCTATATATTTCCCATAAACCAAGGCTAACCTTATTCACTAGACATGATAGCTATATTTTTATACATATACGAATAACTTATCTCCCTCTAAAGACAAAAAAGGGACAAAATGATAGTTGATGTGTGTATGCAGTAATGTTTCTTGACAAGGACCCATAAATTGCTTTATACATGATACATGCATGTCATAAAGACCAAGTTCCTTGATTCAAAGTTTAGGAGAAAAATGATTTTATTTTATATATGGTAAAGTTAAGATTTCAACTTTGTGTATAGTCCAATCTTTCCATATGGACCTAAAAGGTATTAAATTACTGAACAATTAAATTATAATAAGACCTAAAAAGCTTTGCCAGTACACAAATGGTACAAATAGATTCGAAAATTAAGATAATTCACAACGAAAGAAAACAGCCCCAAACACAATGCCACATATATGGTAAGCAAAAAAACTTCTAATTGAAAAATCATGACTCTATGCATTCTCTAAGCTTTGTTTGGGAGTTGGTTTTAGGAGGGGAAGGAAAGGAAAATGAGGGTTTTAGTAAGCCCTTCCCTTGTTTGTGAGTTTAAAAAAAGGAGGGGAAGAGTTTGAGGATTTTTACTAAACCCTCCAAAACCCTCATTCTTCTTAAAATTAAAGTTCCCCAAATTTGAAGGGTTTGAGGGGGAAAATATTAAAAATTACTTATCTACCCTTAGCATTAAAATGTTAAAACTATATAATTGTGAATCATTTTTAAATGCGATAATATTAGAAAAGTCTTAAATACCGACAGAATTTATTGACGAAAAATATTTTGTCAAAAATAGTGATGAAATTTTTGATGAAAATCATATACGTCAAAAAATTTCCGTCAAAACTAAAGACGAAATTAGAGACGAAACAAGATTTTGTCATAATCACTAACATAAATTTTGTACGAAAAACAAAATTCAGTCAAAATTATTGATAGAATCTAAATTTCGTCGAAACTTTAAATAAAAAGTTTCGACGAAAAAAATTACGTCAAAATTTTTTACGGAAAATATTTTCAACAAAATTTGTGACAAAAAATATTTCTGTAAAAAAATTTGACGGGAATTTTTTTTTTGTCAAAATTCTTTACGGAATCTAAATTTTGTCGAAATATTTAACAAAAAAAAATATTCATCGAAATTTATGACGAAAAATATTTTCATCAAAATTTTCAACGAAATACATCTATCGAAAATTGTTGACGAAAAAATTTTTCATCAAAATTCTTAACAGAATTTAAATTCCGCCGAAAGTTTTCGACGGAAACATTTTCGTTAAACTCTTTGGCAAAAAAAATTTCCGTCGAAATTTTTAATGAAACACATTTTCATCGAAAGTTTTCGAAGAAAAAAATTTGCGTCAAGTTTTTTTAGAAACAATTCCATCAAAATTTTCAACGGAACGCATTTTCGTCAAAAAATTTCAACAGAAAATATTTCTGTAAAAAATTTTGACGGAAAAAATTTTGACGGAAAAATATTCTGTCAAAATTCTTTATAGAATCTAAATTTCGTCGAAAGTTTCGAATGAAACATTTCCCTCAAAATTTGTAACAAAACAATTTCTGTCGAAATTTTCGTCGAAATACATTTCCATCGAAATTTTGAACATAAAATGTTCCGTCAAAATTTTTTACAGAATTCTTTTTTCGTTTAAAACATTTGATGGAGGAAATCATTTTCATCAAAACTTTTGATGGAAACTAAATTTCGTCGAAAATTTCGATAAAAAATTTATTTTTGTAAAAATTTCCATCGGTGGAAAAATTCTTTCGCTTTTCGGCGAAAAGTATTCCAACGAAAAAAATAATTTTGATGAAATTTTCGTCATTTGCAACGTAGAAATTTTATCAGAAATATGATCTTTTTTGGTGTTGTGAAAAGTACATGAATAATTTTGTTAGAAATTTTAAATTTAATTTAATTTGTAAAATATAATAATTATATTAATTTTAAAAAAGTGTAAAATAGTAAAAATATAACATTAACCCTCAATTTTCATCCTTTACCATTTTTTTAACTCCCAAACCAGGGAAGAGAATACCCTTCAATTTCCTTTCCTTCCTTCCCTTCCCTTCCCCTTGGATCACCTTCCTTCCCCTCCCTTCCAAACTCCCAAACAAAGTCTAATGCGTTATGAACACCATGGATATGCTCACGTAAAGGAGCTCATTGAATTCACATAATCACAAAGTTGAAACTTGAAAACATTACTTTCTTCGCCTTTAAAAATTATTTGTCAATTAAGTATTGGAGCCCCCAGTTTGCTCAAATGATAATTCCTCTATCTAAAATATTTGATATATAGGGGAATGGTTCTGTGGCACCCAAATCGTATACATTTTTGTAGATACTCAGATACTGTTGTTTTCATTATTGTAACTAAGAATAAACATTGTCTAAAAAAAAAACCTAAGAATAAATATCAGCAACAAGGCAGAACGAATAGAAACACAGAAACTTACAAAGAAATTGAACGAAATGACAATATTTACCCACCAGGCCCATAGCAGCCATGCTTGGAAACTGCTTCTTTTGAAACTCTCACAGCAGTACAATGTTTGAAGACTTTGGTTCACGAAGCTCCATGAACTTTTCTAGCAAATTTCACAAAGCAAACCCCAAACCCCAAGTTTCAGTCTACTTCTCAAATCGATTTTCAGTCTGCAAACCCAAGTTTCAGTTTACTAGCAAATCGATTTTCACGAAGGAAACCCAAGTTTCAGATAGATGAGCAAATCGATTTTGACAAAGCAAGTGAAGGCTAAGGCTATTTTTGTCTAAAATATTTGTTCATATTTTCCCGCCATGTGGGATTTTCATGTGAGATGGTATTATTGGTTGGAATTTCGTAGTAGAATTTAAAATCCTAAGAATGTAGTTTCTCATGAAAAAAATTACATCTCCTACTACCAAACATGGAAAAAGAAGAAATTCAATGTCACTTTCCCAAGAAATTTTTCCCCATGTACCAAACACACATAATTTCCGTCTTAAAACGACATTATTTTTTGCTCAATATAGATAACTTATCTACATTGACGGTTAGAAAAAACAAACTCTTTTAATAAACAGAGTTTAAAAATGTAATATCTTATGTATAATATCTTTATATTCAGGATTACTTTTAAAAAATATTCTTAAATACTTTTGTTTATAGGAATTATTGTTTTGATATTTTACTAGATTTTTGTTCTCATTCTGAGAAATTATTATATTAATTTTTATGACATGGAAATAAAAGTTTTTTTTTTGAAACCCAATCATATCTTTCGTTCTTGTTTCTCTTATTACTTTATGAGTAAATATTTTTTTTGGTCCTCAGCAAATTTCACGATGCCCGCTTTAGTCCCTAGCAAATAAAAAGGCCCATTGTGGTCTCTAAAAAATTCAAAATGGACCCATTTAGTTGAAATCGTGGTTCTTCACAAAATGGACCCATTTTTAAATTTGTGAAGAATCACGATTTCAACTAAATGGGTCCAATTTGAATTTCTTAAGGACCACGATGAGTCTTTTTATTTGTTAGGGACTAAAGCAGGCATCGTGAAATTTGCTGAGTACCAAAAAAGGTATTTACTCTTACTTTATTTTTTTCATAATTTAAATCTTAAAAAATATTATTAAGAAAACATTTTAACCATTTCATTTATAAATTTATAATTATCAATAAAAAATATATCAATTGAAATAAATAAATAAATAAATAAAATCGAACCCTCGTTAATTGCTTAACAGACATGTTTGTAATTTATCCAAAAATTAAATTATTAATTTAACGAATTTTATTCTTGAAAATATAACATACAACTCTAAACATGTACTTCTACAATAATTAAACAAAGGTGAATTACATTTCCCTTACTATTATTTTATGTCTTTTTTATTTTTGAATATGTTTTAGATTAACATAATAGGTCTCTCGGGCTTTACAGATACGGGTCTCATGCAATGAAGAATTTGAATCCTACCCAAGCTCTCAATTTCATATAAATTCTCTATTATAAATGAAGGAAAATAAGTTGTATGAGATAACTATCTTATGCAATAGAGGCAAATTAGTGAAGTCCACTATTATTTTTTTTAAATAATAAATCCCACTATTTTGTCTCTGTTATGAGATAATTATCTCATGTAACATGAGATAAATAGATCACATAAATGAATGGTCTAATTCTACAAGTACATCAGAAGGCACTTCTTCGGGGGCATTTGGTACACAGCATTTTCTAATATTCTCGAAAAATTAAATTTTTCTAAATTTTTAATTTTCGGATATTATCATAAACTGAATGTAAAAATTATATTTTTGAAAATCGAGATTCCCGGATAAATTTTTTTTTCTCCTCTACCAATAATTATAATTTATTTCAGGATTATAATAATCTATTTTATTATAATTTTTTTATTTTTTAGCTCAAAATAATATCATTTTGGGAGCGAATGTAGATAATTATAGAAACGTTAAAACCTTATTAAAAATGCTTTAATAATTCTTAAAATAAACATAGCCTTATAATGGAAAATGAAAAACGCGCGGGAGAGAAAATATGCGAGGACGAAGCGGGAACTAACTCGAAGAAGGTCAAATCAGTCATTTTCACCGATCCAGCTGTATCTTGACACGGAATCATGAAAATATCTCTTACCTAAATAATAGAATAAAATAATAATAAAAAAAATAATAATGTTGAAATTTTTTCACTCAAGTAAATTTAAAAATTTAGCTACGCTACCTCAACCATAATTGGCTCCTATGTTAGGGTTCCTCTCTTTCTGTGTATCTCGAGCCCAAATCCAAACCCATTCCATTCAGCGATCCTCCAATCTCCGCCATATCCTAATCTAAGCAATTCAACGCAGCAGAAAGTGTTTTCGAGTTTCTCCCTTTTCCTTCTTTTTTCTCTTTTTTCCTTCTTGATCGTTTGCGTTTTTCTTTGATCTTTCTTTTCGTTTATGGATGGGTTTGGTGCTGAGGCCAATGTCCGTGGTGCTTCTAACGCCGAAGAACTTAAGCAATTAGGACATGTTTCCAAAGGTTCGTTTCTTTTCTTTTTCTTTTTTAAATAATTTTCTGGGATTGATTTATTATTATTATTATTATTATTATTATTATTATTATTTTTTCAAAAAATTCTTCTGGCCCGTTTTCGTAAACAGGTACTGCTGGAATAGCTTCTTTCTTGTTCTGCGTTCTTTGATTCAGCTTGTGCCTGTAGATCTGCATTTCAAGTTTTTTTATTTTTATATGTTATTTGTTTCTTTTTGGTTAATATCTTCAGTTAATAGCAATTTCAGGTGGTCAGTTCTTGTAGAGTGATTGAACCAAAGCCTGGCCTAGTGTGTATAGTTTTGCCAATTTTGCACAGTTTACACTGTTTATTGTAATGTCTGAATTGAAATATTTTGTGGGTTTTTATTTTTATCTTTTGGTTTATGCTATTGTTACCCGCTTTAATAGATAGCCATACTAAATATGATGAATGCTAGCAATACACTTATTGACACTCTCTTTTCAACACACTCTTTTATTATTGGGTGAAATCTCATGTTAGTACCACTTAATTACTTGGGCCCGTTCTTTATTACTTGGATCAGCATGAGATTTCACCCAATATATTAAGAGTATTGAGAAGAGTGTGTCAAAGAGTGTGTTGCTAGCATTTCTTTGGTATGCATTATTATTTCTTGATTGCGTAATTGCTGAAAAGATTACAAATGTGTGTGCTCACTCTGGTTGATGAGTTGGGAAAGTTTAATGGGCCATAACCCACAAGGCCAATCTAGACTTTGCTGGGTTAAGCATTTTATTTGGATATCAATCAATGCTTTATTTTAGGACCTTATTTGCATTTATGTCTTCTGCTTTTGTAGAGTAAAAAACTTGTTGCACTATAGATAGGTTTATATACTTTTTGAAATTGCAGATTATTAGAAGAGATCCATTAAAGGAAAGCTTAAGAAAATGAGAGAAAGCGAGAGAAAAGGTTGAGAGAGAAAGAGATGAAGAGAAAGCATTATACTATTGAATCTGAACCAAATGAATCATTATTACAGAGAGAGAAATGAAGCTAACATTTATATACTAAATGGCTAACAACTGTAACAGTGGCTAACAGCAGTAACAACTTATGGTTGACAGCTGTAACAACTTATACAAATAAGTAGCTGTGACTAAAGTAAAGAGTTCTACTGTATATACACTAATATTCCCCCTTCAAGCTTAAGTGGGTTGGATTAGGAGAGCATGATCCAAGACCTTGAGTTTGTCTTTTAATTCTGTAAACCTTGCAGCAGAGAGAGGTTTAGTAAATGTATCAGCAACTTGAAGAGAAGAAGGTATGTGAAGGACAGCAAGAGACTTTGCCAAGACTTTTTCACGAACAAAGAACAAATCAAGCTCCATATGTTTCGTTCTTGAGTGTAGAACAGGATTGTGAGCTAAGGCTACTGTGCGTTGATTATCACAGTATATAATAGGAGTTTTGCTGGACACATGAAGTTCTTGCAATAGTGTCTGAACCCACAAAATTTCTGCAGTAGTGAGAGCTAGGCTACGATACTCTGCCTCAGCACTAGATCTTGCCACTACAGACTGCTTCTTGGACCACCAGGAAATGGGATTGGAACCAAGGAATAAGCAAGCACCTGATGTGGATCTTCTATCATCTGGATCAACCCCCCAATCTGCATCACAAAACCCAACAAGAGAGAGAGGCTGGTGCGGTGAGGCTGGATGAAATAGAAGACCATGAGACAATGTTCCCTTGAGATAACGCAAAATCCTTTTGACAATCTTCCAATGTTCTTCCAATGGTTGGTACATAAACTGGCAAATTTTATTTACGGTAAAGGCAATTTCTGGCCTTGTTAAGGTAACATACTGCAAGGCACCAACTATTGATCTGTAGAGGAAGGGATCAGCAACATAATTCCCCCTATGCTTGCTTAGTTTGCAGCCACTAGGCATAGGAGTAGAGATACCTTTTGCATCTGACATTCCAGCTTTGCACAGCAAGTCTTTCACATATTTACCTTGAGATAACAGAAGTCTCCCATGAGAAAGAGGCTTAACTTCTATACCCAGAAAATAATCCAAGGTTCCTAACTGTTTTAGAGCAAAGTGAGAGTTCATTTCATCAGTGAGCTGTTGAATTAGAGCTGAGTTGTTTCCAGTGATGATGATATCATCCACATAGACTAATACATATATGCAGCTCCCATTAGACTGAAGAATGAATAAAGAGGGATCGCACTTGCTAGAGTAAAAACCAAGTTGTCAAAGAGTAGTTCCAAACTTTTCAAACCATGCACGAGGGGCTTGTTTTAGCCCATAAAGAGCTTTGTGTAATCTGCATACCAGATTCTTATTCTCTGTTTCAAATCCAGGGGGTTGTGTCATGTAGACCTCTTCAACAAGCTCTCCATTAAGGAAAGCATTGTTGACATCAAGTTGTTTTAAGGGCCAGCCATAAGAGAGAGCTAGAGTGAGAATAATTCTGATTGTGTTGGGTTTAACAACTGGTGAGAAAGTCTCATTGTAATCATAGCCCTGCTGTTGATGAAAGCCTTTGGCAACAAGCCTGGCTTTGTATTTGTTAACTGTTCCGTCAGAATTTTCCTTGATGCGAAAGACCAATTTACACCCAATAGCCTTCCTGCCATGTGGTAAAGGAACAAGAGACCATGTTTGGTTAGATTGCAAAGCATTATATTCTAATTGCATTGCCTTAAACCAGTGAGGACTGGTCAAGGCTCCCTTAACTGATGTGGGTTCTGAATGAGTGAGGAGGAAAAGATTTCTGATTGCAGCCTTAGAGCGTGTGATAATAGACTGTGTTGGAGAGGGAGGGTGCAGAGGACCTGATGGGACATACTCAGAGGAAGATAATTCAGGATCAGAACTAGAGTTGGTGTTTTGACTGGAAACATTAGGAGTGTGAACAGAAGGTGATGGGGAAGAAGGTAAATGTGTGGCTGAATTTGAGAAATGACCAGACTGGTGTGTAGTGTTTGCTGACAGAGAATTGTTGGAGGAGTCAGAAGAAGGATCACTGTGAGGAACAGATGTTGATGAGGAATTAATAGATGATGCTGAATTAGTGGTGAGGCTGGTTGGACAAGTTTGTGGAAGGAAAATAGTTAGAGGAACAGAAGTAGAAGTAGAGGTAGACTGGTGCAAAACAGAAGAAGTTTTGTTAGTGTGCCATTCTGTGTAAGGAAACTTGTATTCATTGAATAGGACATCTTTAGATATAAATATTCTGTTTTTTAGACTCAAGCAAATATAGCCTTTATGATTGATAGAGTAACCAAGAAAAATGCACACTCTTGAGATCTAAACTCAAGCTTATGTTTGTTGTAAGGTCTTAGAAAAGGGAAACAAGCACAACCAAAGGTTCTAAGAAAGCTGTAATCAGGTTGTTGATGGTGCAACTTAATGTGAGGGATTTCAAATTTGATAGCAGAGGAAGGAAGTCTGTTTATAAGGTAAGTAGCTGTGGTAAAGGCATAGTTCCAATATTGCATTGGAAGAGATGAATGAGCTAAGAGGGCTAGACCAGTCTCTACAATATGTCTGTGTTTTCTTTCAACAACACCATTTTGGTGAGAAGTATGTGGGCAAGTGATTTGATGAGCTATTCCTTGCAAGTTAAGATATTGAGTAAAGGCTCTAAACTCCCATCCCCAATCTGTTTGTAAAGCTTTTAGAGGGAGTTGGAACTGATTGGTCACCATGGCATGAAATTGTTTGAAAATGCTTATTGCATCTGATTTTTGCTTTATTGGATAAAGCCATGTGTACCTAGTGCAGGCATCAACAAATGAGATATAATAAGCATTGCCTCGAGTGGATTTAAGAGGTGATGGTCCCCACAAGTCACTGAAAACAAGAGTGAATGGCTCTTTGTATTCTGTATAAGATGGTAAAGAATGTTGTCTATGAGACTTTGCACAACAACAAGAAGGACAAAATTCAGCCAATTTATTATTGATGTGTAGATTACAAGATTTGAGTACACTTTTAAGGGAATTAAAGTGGGGATGTCCCAGCCTATAATGCCATAAGGAATACAAAGAGCTAGAAGGGCTACATATATCAGAAACAGTTCTAGAACAATGACTATGTGTTTTGCTATTTGGACTAACAGCATTAACAACATTAACAGACTTGTTGATAGTCGAGGACACAGGAGAGCTAGCATAGATGTTATTGGTTGCAGAAGTATGACTTTTGGAGAGCTTCAACTCTGGAAAATAGTATAACCCATCAGAACCCACTGCACCTTGAAGGAGGACTTTATGTGAAACCTGGCATTTTACAAAACACATCAGAATGAAACTCAAAGAAAACTGAGTTGTCTTTAGCAAATTCGCTAACACTGATAAGATTTTTAGTAATGGAGGGAACCAAAAGTAAATTTTGAAGGTGCAGGTGAGTGTTAGAGTCAAAGGGAGATTGAAAAGAGGAGGAACCAATAGCTGTTATAGGAAGACCTTGTCCATTTCCAATCAGAACATGATCAGTACCACTAAGTTGCTGGCCTTGCATAATATTTTGAGATGTACCAGTTACATGACTTGATGCACCAGAATCTGGTAACCATTCAACCAGAGGGGGAGAACTACATGTGGAAGGTAGACTAGAAGGAGCAGCAAAGTATGCTTGAGGCTGAGACTGACTTGTTGGTCTTGTATACTGGAAAGATCTCATTGGTTGAGATTGCTGGTGTTGATACTGGAAGGACCTCACTGGTTGAGGTGGTGGATGAACAAAGTAGTGAGGATAAGGAGTGTTTTGTGGTGGAGGTAGATTCGGAACAAAATTCTCTTCAAATCGATGCCAGCAATCTCTAACATCATGTCCAAATTTATAGCAAAGTTGACAGTGGACATGTGTTCTGGTGCCTCGTCCTCTTCCACGACCAGACCTTCCACCTGAACGTCCTCGTCCTCTGTTCTGACCACTTGAGGTGTGGAACTGACTGAAGTTTTGATGCTATGTTTGACTCTGTTTTCTGGTTTCAGAAACAGAGTCTTCTTCTTCATCTGTAACTTCTCGAACTGAGCTTGGAAGATGCTGAGTGAGATTTATAGTTGCTCCTTCAGTCAACAGAGTATCGTTTTGCTTGATTAACAACTGTTCATGAGCTAGTAACTCCACTGTTAGATCTGCAATAGTGCAGTCTCGTTCTCGTCCGTGTATCATCATAACGAAAGAAGTATACTCTGATGGTAATCCTTCAAGAATAGTCTCAGTGTGCTCCTCAATAGAAATAGGCTTCCCAATCGACTTGAGCGAGTCACGTAGTGTTTTGATACGTGTTAAGTATTCTTTAATAGTCTTTGAGCCTTTCTTCATGGTTTTCAACTCAGATCTGAGTTGACGAACTCGAGACTACTCCATGAAAAGTTTGTGAATATTGTCCCAGGCCTCAAAGGAGTGCTTCACAGGTAGAATATCATTTACAATAGACTCAGAAATAGTGGATAGGAGCCATGTAAGTAGCATCTGATCTTGATTGAGCCAATCAACATAAGCGGAGTTCAGAATATCATTCTCTCTGTCTTCGTCTGAAACAAACTTGAGAGGAATTTTTGGATTAACAAGAAAACGATGCAATTGGTGTGAAGTAATTACCGGTTCAATGATCTGATTCCAGAAAAGGTAATTATCTTCGGTAAGTTTTGCAGAAATTTGAAGATTGAAGAGAGAAGCTGTCTTGATTTTCATTGAAGTGGACTTTTGTTGAGATCTGGATCTATGTTGAGATCTGGATCTAGGTTGTGATGTGTTCGAGTTGTCAGAAGCGTTCGAATCAGAGTCGGAAGCAGAAGACATGATAGAGATCTAAACGGATCAGGCCCTCAGAGAGAGCTCTGATACCATATTAGAAGAGATCCATTAAAGGAAAGCTTAAGAAAATGAGAGAAAGCGAGAGAAAAGGTTGAGAGAGAAAGAGATGAAGAGAAAGCATTATACTATTGAATCTGAACCAAATGAATCATTATTATAGAGAGAGAAATGAAGCTAACATTTATATACTAAATGGCTAACAGGTTTAACAGTGGCTAACAGCTGTAACAGCTTATGGTTGACAGCTGTAACAACTTATACAAATAAGTAGCTGTGACTAAAGTAAAGAGTTCTACTGTATATACACTAATACATATGTTATGCCGTTCTTCTAGACGTATTGAAATGCGACCTTTCATCATCAATAGTTTTGTTTCATTATTTGGTTGTTATGCTGTCTTTCTTTTACATGTTTTGTTTTCTTTTGGTGGATCTAGCACACATGGATTTTCCTTTATATGTGCAAACTGTATATTACTCAAGAATCGAAGTCGATTTGCTTTATAAAAAGAGGATATCAATGAACTTCTATGAAATGGTTTCACGGGATTCAGCCAATTGTCTTGATCGTGGGATATAATTGAGAAATAGGAATCCTATATGATAAACAGATATGAGAAATTGCTAAAATGTTTGAGTCATTTTACTTCTGTTATGCAGAAGGTGCAGTATTTGATGCATCACAATACGCATTCTTTGGTAAAGATGTTGCTGAGGAAGTTGAGTTGGGCGGGTTGCAAGATGAAGATAACTGCATACGTGCAGTTGAGTTCAATGAGGAGGAGTTCTTTCTCAATACAGAAGAGGTTATTTTTCATTCTTCTTACCAGTGTTTTTCTAAATTTCAAATCTTATGTGGCTACTATGTTTAAAATATAAACATCTTGATGTTATGCTTTTAGTTTAATTACTCATGTTTTCTTCATTTTACGGTCAAGTGGTGCATATAATTTCATTCATGTTTTTATTTGGTTTGCCAAAATATGTTAGCTCTTCTTTTGTTAAGCTGCTGGCCCTTTCTTCTTCAATCGTCTTCCTTTGTGGGCAGAATTTAGAATTTCAAATGTAGTTATGTTTAGATAAGAGATAAGAAGAATTTGAGATATAGTTATCTGAGTTATCTTAATAAATTTTGGTGATGTCGTATAATACTTATGTTCATTTGGAGATGTTTTACTAAGGACAAAGTGTTGAAGATTGTTGAGATAGCGAGAAAAGAGAAGCACATGCTGAAAATTGTGTCTCTCAACTACACCACAGAATCAATAGTTATACAATGTATATAATAAATAAAATGATATAATTTTCCTAATTACTATATCTACATGAGTAAGGATCAATTTGTATTATTGGGTGGTATGAGACTGACCTAGTTCTTGGAGACTGACTACCTTTGGAGGTTGAGGGGCTCGCTGAGGAGAAAGGTTGAAGACTTCAATGGTGTGTCATTTGCTTTGGACATGTGCTGAGAGGAAGCTGGAAGGAGGTTAGGGTGCTACTGAGAAGATTGGTTGAAGACTTCTAAGAGCTGTCTGACAAGGACGTTGCAAGATTTTGTGTGTCCAAGTTTGTTGGTTGAGATGGGTTCAGTGATATTAAAAGATTGATGCTTCTTTTTTAGCATTAGGGGGAGTGTTACGATATTTGGGTTATTATGTTATTGGTCTTATTGTTAGTTGGCTTTTACTTGTACTAGTAGTGTCTGAACGAGATTCAAGAAGCACACCAGCAAGCACACAAACAAATTGATGCACACACTTGTTGAAGCCCCAAATTCCCAGCTGATTGTGTCATCTCAGCCAAAGGACTCGGATAGAAGCATCAAAACATGCAGTTACCCTTCAATCTCATCCACCAGATCAAAGGGGGAACAACAAACAGATTTAAACTCCCACAAGGCTCAACAGCAATCAGATCATGGGGGAATTGCAGAGAAAGGTTCAAAGGGCTAGGGGTGTCTTCGATTTTCTTTTTTCTTTTTGTCCAAAAGCGGGTTGATCTTCCTCCTTCAATGGTGGCTTGGTCAGCACGATGAGATTGTCTGTACCCACCAATCTTTTGCTCGAGCATGGTGAACCCTGCTGGGGGCTGTGATTCAGATTGCGTTTCTGGCTGAAAATAGAAGGATCATGTGATCCTATGCTCCAACTTTTATCTATATTTATCTATTTACCATTACATTGTTGCTTTGTACTGTTACTTCCGTTCATTTCCATTTTGCTAAGATTGAATTGTATCAGTAATTTATAGTTGTGGTACCAATTAGTCATTGCTAAATTATTATATCATAATTTTATTCAGTTAAATCAAATTCTTGATATCAGCAAATTTTCAAAATCGGCAGAGAAGAATATATATTGCCTGCTTTGATGACTGGCTGATTCTGCTTTCTTTGCATCCTGCCAAAAGGAAAAAATGGCTATCTAACTTTTATGAGTGATTTAATATCCCAGATATATGTTAGAACTTCTACCAACTAACTGTTATTTCTGCATTGTAGGAGGAAGATGTAAGATCTTTTTCTGATATTGATGATCTCACTACGACTTTTTTGAAGGTAAGGTAGTGAAACTACAATATATTGGGATCTATCTAAATGCTGGAGATCGTTATTAGATTAATGTCTGATTGCTGTGATGAAGATTGTTTCTTAATATGGATACATGTACTTAAAGTAGAAAAATTATATATAATAAATGTCTTTTTTAGAGTAAAAAAAAAAACTAAACAGATAAGCATGAGGAAAGATACGACTAGGGGAAGATAACAAATCCTCTAAAACAGAAATTTAGTTTAAAAAGAAACATAATAAGATCAAAATTGTAGAAAAGCTGCTCAACTATTGTGTTTCTGTTGTTAAAGCATAATGAAAGTCAAAAGAAAATGAGAGAAAGTGTGGGAAGAGAGAAAGAAAATCCATTGTTTGATCTGAAGAATATTGCATGCATTAGATGATACATGAGCAGCTCTATTTATAGAGCTAGACTATGTAGCACCGACATCGACATGCGACACGACACCGTACGACACGTTAATTCTAAAAAAATTTAGATTTCGACATGCCGTGACACGTTTTGATATTAAATATTTTTAATATATAGTGTATATTATATTTATATTCAAAAACTTCACAAACAAGTAAAACAGAATTGATAATATCTATCACTTTAACCAAATAAGATTCAAAGAAAAAAATCATTTCCATAATTCCATTACATTACGTAGAATATCCATAGAAAACCTTAAATTATGTAAATTACATTCATGGAGCATTTTCCTCTAGAATAACACTTTTTAAAGTTTTTATTTAAATGTATTTTAATATTTTGAAAATTATAATTTTATTACAAAAATGTCCTTTGATCGTGTCGGAAATGGTCAAATTTGTTTGTCGGATTGGTCAACATGTCCGACAACGACTTCAGAGTTTTTGAAGTGTCCATGCTTCATAGGAGCTAGATGAGCTAACTCAGCACTGAGTCATAAAGCTAACTTAAACTAACTAGATCTAATAGAATCATAACCAACCAATTAACACTAGAGAGGCTATGATCTGGTATAACACGACACATAGTAAAGAGCAGAAGCATAATACATAATGCGACAACTCAAGAAAGAAATACAAAGCATTGAACATGCTGGTCATTAATATGCCCCCACAAACTCACGAGTTATGGATAGGTAAAGATGAGTCCATAACTCTTAGTTTGGTCCTAAGTTCAGCAAACCTAAGAGCAGATAAACCCTTGGTGAGAGTGTTCACAATCTGATTTGAAGCAGGGATATGAGATACAAGTAGATCCTTGGCTAGAACGCGTTTTTTGACAAAAAAGATGTCCAACTCCATGTGCTTTGTATGAGCATGCAAAACTGGGTTATGTGAGAGGGCAACAATTCTAAGATTATCACACAATATGCATAGAGTGGTCAGATGAACATGAAGCTCATGCAAAAAAATCTTCGCTAAAGTGAGTGCCAAACTCCTATATTCAGCCTTAATGCTGGACTTGGCTAATAACATGTTTTTAAGACCACCAAGAAACAATAATTGGCCCAAGATACAAGCAAGTTCCCGGGCTTGAGTGGCTGTCATCTGGGTCACTAGCCTAGTTTACGTCACAATACACTGTCATGGAGAGAGAACAATGAGGATTGGTTGGCTGTAGCATTAGTCCAAAGGTGATAGTCCCTAAGGTACTTGAGAATTCTTTTCACAACATTCTAATCATCAAGTAGAGGTTGTGCCATAAATTGGCACACTTTGCTCACAACAAAACTTGTTTTTGGTCTATTTATTATGGCATATTGTAGTGCTCCTACAATGGAGTGATAATACTGTGGATTTGCATAATAATTGGATCCATGTCTCGTCAATTTATACCCAACAATGCTCTTAGCTTCTGCCATGTTAGCGTGAGACATGAGGTCTCTAATGTAAACTCTGACTAAGTGAGAAATAAGACACTATAGGGTTGCTTCTTAACTTCTACTTTGAGGAAATAATCAAGCTCCCCTAAGTCCATGAGAACAAGCATAGTTTGGAGATCTGTGACAAGATTTCGGATAAAGGAGGGTCATTACGAGTCACAATGTTGATATCATATATGTATCCAAGAGTGCAGATACACCTATTACCAGCATGAAGAATGGACATAAGATGGACCACAACGACATGCCCGAAAGTCAAGAAGTAAGGGCCCGTTTGGATGAGCTTGTAAAAAGGACTTTTTATGGCTTGCTTATTTTAGAAGTCCTTTTCATAAAAGTTAAAGCTATTTAGAGCTTTAAAAATATTATTGAGCTGAATCCTCCCAAGAATTTTCAAAGGTGGATTTAACCATTTGATCAAAACCTTAATCTTGCCAAGTATTTTTTATGGCATTGTAGAACAGCTTTTGGTTCCACTTAGAGATCCCAGTCACCACTTAACATAGGTTACAGATGTTGAACTTTAGTGGAAGGAGAAATGGATTTCTTTAAGAGGGAAACGTGAAATATTTGAAGAAGTTTCTTTGGATCAGGTGTGACATGGTGCGTATCTCCTGAATATGTATACCATTCTATTGCAAGCTGGTCAGTAGTTCATGGTCCAGTTAGAAATGCTTGAGGTTGAAAGCCTTGCTGCCTCATTGAAGAAGATGGAGGCTGACATGATGTAGAAACTTGAGCAGCAAATGGTTGGCCAAGAATAGAAGATGTAGGGAAGGAACTATGATATTATTTCTGATGTTCAAGGAATTGTTGTGCCAGTTGTGCAAATAGATTGCCTTAGGGATATTGGGACTAGTTTGAGCCCAATCCGAAGGATGATCCCTGAGGAAAGAACTAAGGGAAAAAAATTGTTATTTGGTACAGAAGAATGTTGAGGAGAGTTGTTGCTTGGGTGATTGTTCTCTAGGTAGTTTTTTGAACCAAATGTTGGTGTGAAGGAAGGATAAATCTTGTGCCAACAATTCGCTACCTCATGTCCCGTCATGCCACATCTAGGACCAGAACGACCCCTGTGTCTGCTATGGAAACCTCTGTAAAGAACCTTGGGATACACCACCCCAAAAGCTAGCTCAAAGGGTGGGAGTGCCCAAATTATATATCTCAACACGTCCCCTCACACGAAAGCCCTTTGGGCTTGAAGAGTGGATGATGCAACAGGCCCAGACTACCTGTGCTAAGAAATTCCACAAGAGAAAGTGGGGGGCGGCGAGGCTCTGATACCATGTAAAGAACCTTGGGATATGCAATTGAATCTGAAATATATTGTATATTCAAGTGTGTAAGTCTGTACAAGGAGGCTCTCTATTTATAGAGACTAAAAGACCTAACGGAATGACCTAATGGGCCAAGCCCACAATCTAGACTATTCTAGACTATTCTAATAATAATAAATTAATATTATAAATTAATATTATTTCTAACACTCCCCCTCAAGCTGGTGCGTATATATCAAAAGCTCCCAGCTTGTTACAAATATGATCTATTCAAGGACCTCTAAGAGCTTTAGTGAATACATCCGCAAGTTGATCATTGGAATTGACAAATGCTGTCTCGATCTCCCTTGACTGGATCTTTTCTCTAACAAAATGACAGTCAATTTCTATATGCTTGGTCCTCTCATGAAAGACTGGGTTAGAGGATATATGCAAAGCGGCTTGGTTGTCACAAATGAGCTTCATAGGCCTTTGTTCACAGAGATGGAGTTCCTTCAGCAATTGACTCAGCCAGATGAGCTCACAGGTTGCATTTGCCATTGCCCGATATTCTGCCTCCGCACTGGATCTGGCGACCACAGTTTGCTTCTTACTCTTCCAAGAGATCAAATTTCCTCCGAAGAGAACACAATACCCTGAGGTGGATCGTCTATCTGAAGGAGAACCTGCCCAGTCAGCATCTGAATAACTAGAGATCTCTGAACTCCCTTTATTTGTATATAATAAACCTCTTCCTGGCGCCTTTTTAATATATCGGAGAATTCTAATAACTGCATCCCAATGGGAGTCACAGGGAGAATCAAGAAATTGACTTGCAACACTCACTGCGAAGGAGATATCTGGCCTTGTCACAGTAAGATAATTCAATTTTCCAACTAATCGGCGGTAGCGACTAGGATCTGGCAGTGACTCCCCCTGTCCTGGTAATAACTTAACATTGGGGTCCATAGGTGTATCAATGGGTTTACAGCCTAACATGCCAGTTTCATCTAGGATATCCAGTGCATACTTCCTCTGACAGATGGAAATGCCCCGCCTAGACTGTGCAACTTCGATCCCCAAGAAATATCGAAGTCTGCCAAGATCTTTGGTCTAAAATTGATTGAATAAATGCTCTTTCAACTGATCAATCCCGGTCTGATCACTGCCTGTAATGATAATGTCATCAACATAGACCAGGAGATAAACACACTGGCCAGAAGAACTATGCCGGTAAAAGACAGAATGATCGGCTTTGTTTCTGATTAAGCCAAAGGATTCAACAACTGAACTAAAGCGGCTAAACCAGGCCCGAGGAGATTGCTTCAGGCCATATAAAGATTTCCGAAGTTTATATATCATTCCAGAACTCTCCCCCTGAGCAACAAAACCTGGTGGTTGCTCCATATAAACTTCCTCTTGCAAGTCACCATGTAGAAAAGCATTCTTAATATCAAGTTGGAGAAGGGGCCAGTGATGAATGGCGGCAAGGGCAAGAAACAGGCGAACAGAAGCCATCTTAGCAACAGGAGAAAAGGTATCCCCATAATCAAGACCAAAGATCTGTGTGTATCCCTTGGCCACTAAGCGAGCTTTAAGGCGATCAACAGTGCCATCAGGACCAACTTTAACTGTGAACACCAATCGACAACCAACAACAGACTTCCCGGGAGGAGCACGAACAAGATCCCAAGTGCCATTGGAGTGAAGTGCCTGCATTTCATCAAGCATCGCCTGGCGCCACCCTGGATGAGATAGTGCTTCACCTGTGGTTTTAGGGATGGAAACAGAAGAGAGACTAGAAACAAAAGTAAAATGTTGTGAAGAAAGTCTGTCATAACTCAAGAAAGAATAAAGGGGATGAGGATTTCGA